AACGAATTATGGTAAAACAATGATAGTTTTCAAAAAGGATTTTTCCCCAATAATTTATTAATTTCTTCTTTCAATAGCTTCAGAATATCGATGATGTTCTGCAAAGAGGGACCGTATTGACCGAGCTCGATTCGAAGACACAGCACCTGCAAATTCTTTCGCAAAAATATAAAAAAGATGCCACATATTTGAACCGCAAAAGCATGTACGTCAAAGCAGCAGCGGCCGGAATTATTTTCTTAGTTTTCATTTTCTATTTTTGGATTTTGTAAAAAGAAAATTGCACGCTGGGAGGAGCCTTTAATGATTTATCATTCAAGAATATATGTTATTCAGATGTAAGAGGAAATACGAAAGCTTGATGGTTTTGGATCAATTGATTGATAGTTTAAGTTTTCTGTTTGGAGTAATTTTTACAATCTCAGTTCTTGTTTTCAATACATAGAGCATTAAGTATGCTTTCCATTTGAGAGATTTGGGTTTGTTTGTTGTTTTTTCCATTTAGAAATTTAAATATATAAAAAAAAATATTAAAAAACAATGTAAGATCGAAAAAAAGTTAGTTTGAATCGATTTTTTGTGCAATCTTCAGTTCAAAAAGTCTTTCTGCGTTTGACAAAATATTATAATAATAATTATCATTTTTTATTCATCATTATCAATGTCTAATCATCATCATCATCATAATTATCATCCTTGAATTCAGTTCCATTCGAGAAGAGGAAATTCACTGGTTCCCGGCTATTGGTGGCTGTTTGTGAGCTTTCATCTACTACACTTTCTTGACTTCTTGAATACTGTTTCATTTGTGTTTTTGTTATCGTCGTGAAATAATGTTCTTTGTGTTTCCTAGTCTCTTCCATCACATCCTCTTCATTTATAAAGAAGGAGATAAAATAGTGGTTTATTTCAAGAATATTCGAAAAATGTTCATATTTCTTGTAGTTACCGCTGTTTATGATATCATACGTGTGGACATCTGAGGCAAAAACTACGTAAAAAACGGGATACTCTACAATATTTTTGCCTTTTAAATTCTCTTGGAGTGTTTTTGATGCATCCATTGTGAAGAATCTTTTCTTACTCTTCCGTGTTCCTTCTGCCTTTAGCAGTAGTATAACTTGATCTAAACCTTTTGATCGATAGCATCCAAGTGAGCTAATTGAGTCACTATTATCAAAATACTTTCCAATCAATTCGGTCATCAATTTTGACTCACAGCAACGCTCGTCAATGATAATTTTATTGTGGGCATTGATAAAGCGCCATTCAATACACCAATAGATAACCTTTGATGCCCAATCGTAGTAAGTTTTATTTGATTTATGCTTATCGAAATTTGGAAGCAGAAATTCTAGTTTGATTTGTCGTTCAACAGCAGCCTTTTTCAGTTTCATCAGAGGTACGGGAAGCGAGCGATCACTGGCCGTGTATCGCTTGATTCTGTCAGTCCGTCGAGCCGAAGTATAATTACTACAGGATTCCAAGAACACATAGTCATTCATTAAATCAGCCTCGGTGAGTTGTTTCAAAGGTATGTATTTAGTTTTATCACGAATCCCATCACAATCGAGTTCTTTTTTGTGTATACGTAAACACTCGATTTGGCACGTTTTGACCTCACATTTTGGACATGTATATTTGGCTGGATTTGAATTACAAACTTCACATTTTCCTAGTCTCCCCTTTGGATTTGTTCTGAAAGAAAGTCCAATGCGTGAAGTAATATGAAAAAAAATATATATATAGGAAAACTGTTTTGTAATTACATTGATTGTGATTCCATTTTTATTTCCTCTTTCTTGTTGAGCTCTCGGTTGTTTTTATCACTTTTCTTCAACGACATAACCTTATTTTCTATGAACATTGGCATTTTTTTGTACTGTCAGCGATGACAGTCAGTAGCTCAATATTTTCTGTTGCTCATTTAGCATGTGTGTTCAAATGTCAGTATAAATAATAACTCAGTCAGTATATATATAAATGAGATTCGGTTGTTATGTGTACAAACAAAGTGCTAGATCAAAAAAAAAATCTTCAAATTTTTAACAAGAAACCACAATATCAAACCATTCAGAAATCAAGCGGATATAAATTGATATGAATTGTAGATTGTATATATAGACTTATAGACTATAGAATGTAATTATATTGAAATGAAAACAATTGAATATTGAACGTGACAGGTTCTCGTGAAATTTCTGTGTTGTATAAAACTTTTTCAGTCACTTTTCAATCGGAGTGTGGATCATATTATTTAGTTGTGTAATTAATTACACTTGCAAAATAAAACGAATTACATAGGTAATCCAAACTTTTCCGCTCCGCAGCAATTTAGTTTACCTCCCGCTTAATGTTTAACCAAAATTTCAATGGACCCTTTTTTCATAGCATTTTTGACCTTAAAATATAACTATTTCGACCATTTTCCATACAGAAGCGTCGTTTTCGAACAAAATTTCAAAAATTTCAAGAAATGTTGATTTCGGACCAAATTTATGGGCAAGTAGGGTTCGGTTGTTTGAAGGCTCCCATTATTTTTGAAAAAAAATATCAGTTT